TACACCAGGGGGAGACAACCATCTCGCCCTAGGGACGAGATGTGCGGTGACTTCATCGTTGCCCGCAACGTCGCCTGGTCGGTATAGACCCCGAACGACGTGTTGCCGAGTCATCGCACTCGGCACTTCTGGGATGTATGCTTCATGACAAGGGTTTCCTTGTCATGCACTGGATCATCAACGCGCATCCGATCGCGAAATCGGATGTGTACGGGAAAAGGGACGATCTTGGACAACCACTGCCAAGATCGGCGTAGCAGCCAAGCCCAGCTTGGCCGCATCTAACGGCTGCGATCACGCAGCGGTTCATTTCCGTGCGCGTTTCTTCTTCCCGTCCACAGCCCGGCTGTGAACGAGTATCATGTAGAAGCAGTTCGGTGCGAAGCACCGAACACAAGCAATGCGTCGCGCACCTTGCTTGATCCCGCGACAGTGGCTACTGTCGCGTCGGGATACTTCTTCCGCAGGGGTCCCATCCGAGAGCACATCCATGTGCTCTCGCAGAGTCTTGCAACTCTGCTCGTCGAAGCGTTCCTGCTTCGTCTTGCCACTGAGAGTATCATCACTCTCAGTGGGGCTTCCAGCGAAGAGTTGGCCCAGCTCCTCTGCTTCACTTGTCATTCTTTCGCAGTCCGAAAGAATGCATAGCTCCTTTGCGAAGCGCTTCCAGGTCATGACTGGAAGCGAGATCAACTCCGACGTATCAGTCGGAGGGTTCTCCAACTCCATCTTCTCGTACTCGTATACAGTACAGACCCGCGTCAAGACGTTCAACGTCTCGACGGCCACTGTTGGCACCTGTGTCTGCCCGGCAGACACACCATGAAGAGTCTCGGTCCCGGACCGAGACTTGCACAGCGTCTTGTGCTTGCGCCTTTGCTTCGTCTTGTGAATCCTGGATTCACTTGTGTTTCGTCCAGGCCCGGCCATGGACGAATGTTCTTTGATACCGCCGGCAGACATTCCAGTCTGTAGGAGATCGCCGGCGGGTTCTTGTACCCGCAGGCACGCGTCATATTCGCGCCCTGCTTCGTGCAGCCCCACGAAGCTTTAGTGCTGGACGTTTGCAACCGTCCGCACTGCTTGTCGCATCGACTCCCGGAGTCGATGCTTTGTCGTCACCTCTACGCATTACGGCGGAGCATTGTGTCGCAACTCCCAGAGCTGACACGCTGTTGTCACCTCGACGCCTTGCGGCGGAGAACATTCTAGAAGTGTCTGGTCCCTTGACCAGACACTCTTTTACTGTCAACGACTCCCGGAGTCGTTATAGCCCACGCGCTCCACGCGCTACGACCGGAGACGAGCCGGCGGGGGGAGCCACTGTCTCTGAAGGAGGTTCGGATGCACCGTTAGGTGTATCCGCCGCGCTAACAGGGCCATCGCTCTCTGTTGCGCCGCGGTGTCCGAAGCATACGACCGTACGGTTCTCCCCGTCGATAATAGAATCATGCCGTGCAAGCCACGGCATGCCCAACACCATGTCGAACTTGTCGTCCAAGTCCAGGACGAGAAGTTCTTCCACAAACACCCGGTGTTTATGCGAGAAGCGTGCACGAATTACGCGCTTCTCGATCTTCACGATGGCACCCGTTGCCAATCGTACTTCCAACTGACTTCGAGGCACATGCTTTCCCTCGAAGTCCAACAACAGCAGACGTTGCTGTCGAACAAGTTGTCCGACACGTCCGAGTCTGCCAACTCTCGAAGAGAGTCCGCTCTCTTTGTCATCGATGTCATCTTCAAGATGACAAGGATTGGCTTGTCATCTTGCACCTTGCAGTGAGATTCCCTCTCACTGGGGGCTGCAGTCCCCATATCGCGTGTCCGTTGTAGACACGCGTGACTGCATTACCAGTAGGGCGCCCCGCGCCTACTGGTCCGTCGCGTTGTTTGTTCGACCGTGACGATACCCTGTATCGCCACGTCGACCTTGGACCGAGTGTACTGGTGTTGTACACTCACGTGCATAATGTCCGATGTTTCCGCACCGGAAGCATCGCACGTTGGTTCTCGTCCACTGCTGCCCCGCAGCAGTTGCGCTTGAAAGGTCCATTGGTTCTGGACCTTCCTCCTCATCCACCACCTCAACCGCCGGTTCGGGCGGGAGTGGAACGTTCACATGTAGTTTAGCCTGCCGCAGGCTAAACTCCTCCTGCATGGCGAGAGTTATCGCAGCTTCGAGAGTACTCGGGTACTCTCGGAAAAGATAGGTCTCCACAGGCCCATCCTTCAGCCCCTTCATGAACGTGACGACCTTGGTCG